GCTTTGTTCAAGTTTATTAATGGGAAGAACTGCATGAAGTTTTTAAAAAAAATAGATGAAAATATCTAAATTTCAATAATACACGGAAGTACATACATGCATAACTCATGATATTCGACAATTTCCATGGAAACAATTCTAAAAAAACATAACGAGCCATTAGGAATAGCATTTGACGTATGTATATAAAAATGCTCTAAAAAACACAATTGCGTATACACAAAAATCTTACCCAGGTTCAAAAAACGGTTCTTCTGCATATGCATCAATCATGTATTCTTCAGCTACATCAGTACTTTCTACTTTAGGCACATAAATAGTATCTCTTTTAGGCACATCACTGGTTTCTTTAGATTCATCTTTAGTTTCTTCTTTAGATTCATCTTTAGTTTCTTCTTTAGGCTTCGCTGGAGGCGCTGGCGTAGGTGCAGCTGGTGGCTGTTTGTCAGGAGGTGCATTATATTCGACATTCATCAAAAATGACTCCTGATAGATACCATAATGCGAATAAAGTATGAGATACAATTTCTGTTTTCCCCAATCAGGTCCCTGCAAACAAACTAGACGACCATCGCGTTTCAGCAGTTTTTTCAACTAAATCATTTTTTCAAAGGGAAATAGACCGCAGAACAAAATATATTGACATGATTTAATCATACGGTAATGCTGAGTGAAAGCTAGAAACTAAAAATGACAGATTGATAAATTCAACATAGAATTTTACTCAAATGTGTGTCAGCTGAATTTGTGACACCTCATTGCATTCTATAAAGACAAGCTCATATTAGGAGATTATCATCAAAATAGTGAGGAAGGGATGTGATAGTAAAACTCAGCGAGGCGTTTGGAGTAAACACAGGAGTCAGACAAGGGTGCTTATTATCACCAATGATATTCCTAATTGTGGTGGACTGGATTATGCGTCAGACAGTGGGAAACGAGAAGACAGGGATATCCTGCACCTGGACCGACGTGAGGAACCTAGAAGACCTGGATTTTGCGTGTGGATGATTTATGTTTGATGTCACACAAAATCGAAGACTTACAAGCGAAAACCGACAAACTGGTTGAAGAAGCAGCCGGTGAAGACAGGACTGCAGGTGAACATAGACAAGACGGAGGTTATGAAAATAACCAATCAACCAACAACAACAACAACATCCGACGCCAATCACCATCAATGGGAGGGATTTGAAAGAGGTCACTTCATTCACTTATCTAGGGAGCATTGTCTCAACTACAGGAGGAAAGGACGAAGATGTCAAATTGAGAATCGAGAATCGGGAAGGCGAGAAACACATTCATCAACCTGAAATCAATCTGGAAATCTTCTGCTGTCACTCAACTCAGCATCAACAACAAAATGATTCGGATTTTCAATACAAACGTCAAGTCAGTCAGTTCTTCTATACGGATGAGAAAGTTGGAGGGTCACAAAGAATATTTCCAACAGCCTGTTGCAGACCTTTATCAACAACTGTCTCCGCTGGCTCTAAACTCAAGATCAGATGGCCGAAAAGAACACGAACCAACAAGAAAGACACTATGGGAAGAAACAAAACAAGAACCAATCGCTCAACAAATATGCAGGAGAAAGTGGAGATGGATTGGACACTCGCTGAGGAGGCCGCTGGGTGACATCGTGCGTCAGGCCATAGCTCGAGTGGAACCCGAAAGAAGAGCGGCGAGTGGGACGTCATTGCAAGGGTGACATGGAGGAGATCGTGTGAAGAGGAGCTGAAACAGTATGGACTAACATGGATGCAAGTGAAAAGTACAGCAGAAGACAGAAGCAAGTGGAGGCGTGCAGTTGAAGCCCTTTGTTCCACTGGGATCCCAAGGGAATAATAATAATATGGAATTTTCAGCATGTGATATCGGCAGCCCAAATTTTGCAGGCCGACTATTGATATCAGGTGTGCGTAGGCAGCCGGTCGAACCCCGGCCCATGTGCATGGTCAGCGAGAGTCCTAACTGCTGTGCCACCGACGCACACGATGTACACTAAATATTTTCTTTAAAAAAAGGACTTACTCTACTTTACTGCCCGGCAAGAAATATGGTATAAGTGAAAGCTTTCAGCTTCTTATTACTCACTCGACAACTCAATTAGATATACAATCAATAGTTCTTGGTAAACACACATATAGGGTTAAATAGCTCTAATTTTAATCATTTAGCAGCAAAATTTACCTACACCACTTCCTCTTCTTCAGTGAACACAAACTACATCCATAATGGCGAATAGACAGTTAGCCAGAGGAGACAAAACGGAATAATATATATATGGCCCGTGATTGATTTAAATTTACATATACGAATAAATTTTTAAATTTATCGCAGAAGAAAATGCTACTCTCTAATCACAACTACTGGAAGCAGTATCACTGATAGTATTAATTAATTAATCAGGCACATTTGTTTGCCTGATAGATTTGCTAGGAGGATGTTTCTCCTAGTCAATAAAGTCATCTCTAATTTTGATATCATATAGAAAACTAAATAATCGAGACTACTAAAACACCAATACTCCATTTTACAATCAAGAGGGCTGGAGTTATAAGACGTCCAGACTTGAAATAGGTAAGTTTTATCCGTCCGAACCATTAATTATTTAAATTAACCATACTTAATTGTCTATAGGCGTATGTGGAATGATTTTGATATCCTATAAAATAAAAACACAACTATCGGAATATTATACTGAGAAGCCAAGTGTTATCCATCTATAGGAATCGTGTATTTTTGATTGCACACTAGTCAGTAACTAATGTAATGTGTCTAGTCCTATCTTCGCTGCAGACTGAATTCTATCAGTCATGCTTGCAATGTGGTCACCATGGCACCGAAGATAGGACTAGACACATTACATTAATTACTGACTACTGTGCAATCAAAAATATTCAATACAGTCCTACAGGAGGTCAGTCGCGAGCCTGAATAGCTCAGTGGTAACATCTCTGACTGCAGCACTGGGTGACGCGGGTTCGAATCTCAGAAGGGACATCAGTTCCTTCAAGGTTATACATACGCCTTGTGATGAGTCATAGCAAGAACTAGGTCAAGCTTGCTGCCGATTGCCTCCAACCACCTAATACCAGGAATGGTGTTTCACATTCGCAACTTTGAAATGATTAACATGGCTTTCAGAATACCCACAGAATTCTTGCTTGATATATATATATATATATAAAGTGCTGGTATGGTATAACTAATTTCCATCCAACTAAAAGCACATATACGTTGTGTTTTTTTCTATTTTGATAAAGTCAGCCTGAAAAAATAAACTGATTGATGAATCCCATAATAACCGCCTGCTTGAAAATGCCTACTCGGTCTCATCACAGCCAGTCCAAAAATATCTGCCCACATTATTAAAATAATGTATGAGAAGTAATAAGGGGAAATATGCATTGCAGACGTATAACATGTGCGCTCAGTAAGTCTGTGGAGTCTGTAATAATACTATTGTACATTTTTTTGTTAGATGTTAAAATTAGAAACATTGTACACAACGTTTGTTGAAAACGATTCATTTTGAAATATACATAACTGCGGAGCACAATCTAAAATACAGTGTGCTGCTCACCACTTCGTCTTCTCACTAGTCTATACTGTCTACTCGTTTCACTATTAACTGTGTTGTATACTTTGGATTTCGCCGGAAACTCTTATCCTCATCCGAACACTACCCTACAACCGATGCACAGCTTCAACCAGTAGATACGACTCCAGCAGTGAACACTATTGTGGATCATCATATTAATAATTTGTAGCAGCGGACTTTAACTGTATAACCAAGTAACCAATTAATTTATATAACTCATTACTGTATTTTTATAATATACAGTTACACTATCGGTTAATTAACTTGGATTTTTATTCAAATATTTGTTCTATTACCGAGCTCGCTACAAAGTCCCCTACAAGTCAGATAACTTTCTAATTCTTGGGACGCTTGCCAACCATGCACATGGTCCGGGGTTCGATTTCCGGCCAACGCACTCCTTTTCCTCGCTAAGCCAAAAATATTGCTGGTGAAGAGGAAAGGTTGGACATGAGGCTAGCAACCCCATCCTGTAAAATAAACACTGCTACAGAAACTTCAAGCCACTAGCTTGAAGCCCTATGTTCCACTGGGGAACGTGACGGAAAAAAATTCTTATTATAAAATTAGCTTTCGTTGAGAATCAGACCTATTCACCAGTAGATTGTAAATGCCCACAAAGTAAAAAAAAATAAGAAAGTAAGCACAGACTTACTTCAGGCACAACAGAACCATCCTTTGTACGAACAAAAATAAAATCATACGGTCCATTTGTTGACCAAGCAGTTTTATCACCATCGGATGTAAATATTATTTGTTTTCCCAATTCTAAACCGAATTTAACACCTAAATTATTATGTTTCAGCCAATTTTTAACATTGTTCTTAGCCAGATCAGTTAATGGCTTGCTAGGTTGAGTTGAAAAAGTGACACCAGTGTAACCAGTCTTTAGGAGAAATGTAAAAACAAACGACAAGTATAGTGTACTGCATATTGTTCTAGCATAATACTAATGACAAGGAATTACTTGTAAGGAATAAAAACCGTTCACTTATTTGAATAAAGCAAGAACAACAGTGGTTTGTGCAGAATAATATGGTACCATCATTTATTTCGTAGACTTCTCATCAGCTGCTTACAGCCTAAATACATTATGAGTTTTGCGTACAGAAAAGTTTTAACATACTTGCAAATTTTACATGTTGTCAGTTGACAGAAAGTTCCACACTTAGTGAACAGTGCTCAGAAAATTGCGCTTATATAGTTTTTACACAGGCAGTTCAAGTTTAAACAAAATAGATATATGCATACAATGGTAGGAGAGTTACGTAATAAAGGCAAAATATGCTTTAGATACAGAGTGACTAATAAATTAGGTAACAATGTGCTGAGTTCAGCTCAAATCATAGAAACAAGAGACAAGCAAAATTACAGATTATAAAAGGGGGTGAGGTTAAAGACAAAGATTACGGAATCAGATGAGAGAACAAAGACATTCAGTTACCAGGGCAAGGAAAGATTAATAACTGCTTCTTTCTGAACACATAAATCTGGTTTCAAGCGTTTGATAGAGATTGCTTCGGCAAACTTGAGGAGAATGGAACTCCTTTGTCTATTGATAATTTTAAAGGATTTCTACCTCATGACCCGTGTCGAGAAGATGTCTAGTAATAGCGCTGCTATAAGAGTTTGTTCCCTTGAGACATAGGCTTTTTGGCACATGTTCAGAAAATCGGAGGTGTGCCCTTCTTTCTGTTCTCCCAATATAACTGCTCCCGCAGATACACGTAAATTTGTATACACAGTTGGAGTTAACATGAGAAGGGTATTTATCGACTTTTGACTGCACCAAAGAGCATGTTGTTCGATGGACGGGAACCAACTTAGCTGTAGGATAGGCTCTGGCTAGTGACGTTCTGTCTTCTGTTGACCATTTCTGCAATGTCTTCACCTTAAAAATCTAGTTGAATGAATGAATGAGCCTTTGAAGGCTCAAATACCAAACAAATCACAGTTGAAAAAAAGCCTGTCTTCGTTATTCTGCACAAACCACTGTTGTTCTTGCTTTATTCAAATTCATCAAGGGGAATAAACGATTAAACCATTAAGCCATTAGCACATCGCATCTCACTGGATAGACTGAGTGCAGTGACACGGACGATAGATAGTGTTAGTGTACATGTTATCACGGACTAATATCAATTGGAGATTCATTGGAAGCCAAAGAGTACTCAAGAGGTGTTCTGTTCTAGTTCATGACCACTCAGCAGTGTACCCACGAGGGGTCGAAACCGAGATACGAAGCAAGTCTCTCCATCGTTCAGTGATTACGTCAAGAACCAATTACCTGTGAATTAGATCCCCAATAAACAGCCACCACTAACCAATGTCATCCCTCTGCATCCAAAAGTTGACTGTCAGTCTCCTGCTTGTTGTTGCCCACAACGTGGATGTCATGAAGCTCTATTAGGAAGCCAAGGGCAGTAGAACCTAGAGTATTGGACAGCAAAACATAACTCATGGGCCATTAAGTTCCCACGCAGTTGCTGAGAGATAAACGGACATCCTTCGTAACCTGAAGACACAAGGTTTAATCTCCAGTGCTGTCATGTGTGTAGACACTACTGAGGATTTTCAAACTATGTCGAAACAACTGTTCAGTTATACTTAGTTTCCCTTGATTCCCCAAATTAGGAGAACACCCACGAGTCTGTAAGACAGGTAGCAGAGAGGTGGGGACAGAAAATAATGCTTGTTAATAAAAGCAGATAATTTAAAACTGTACACACACAGAATAGATTTGATACCTGCTTGTCCTTCATGGTTTATATGATTATCTGTGGCTTCTGATATTCAGAAGCAGAGTTTTCATTCATCACTTACCAATCTTATCTCAATGTTTATTCTCCTATTCAGAAATGACAGCTATGAACAAAGAACTATACATGAAAAGTTGTCAACAAACTTCCCTTGCAGCTAAACTGTACAGAGTAGATTTCAGTTCTGAACGCAAATACAGATCCGACACCGATGTCTTTCAAACGCTGTCATTATCGATCTACTTTTTCATACAAATGCTCTCAAGGATATATTGAAAACCAATCATCAAAGACTTACACTTCTCACCAAGTTTTTGGCCTATAAATTTCTGTCATCTATATAGTCCATAAGAAGTCTAAATACCTGTTAAGAAAATTAATCACTGAATTCTGTTAGTACATGAAAGAGGCAAGCGAATTAGAGTCAAATACCAATCGATATGGTTGGCGTTAGGACGGAAACTACGATAGGTGCATATATCTTCTTAAAGAACGTCATCCAACATTCTATGGTAACAATACAACACACTGATGAAACGGGAAGTAGGTGCTGATAACAATAACAAACGAACACAATCTGATTACAAAACAACAGTCGACTGTTGTTGTAGCATTAATGCATAACTGTTGATTGTTTTAGAATGAATTTTATAATACTAAGTAAAGTGGTATCATAATACATTGTGTTTGATGATAAATGTTCAAAATAAGTTCACAAGAACACTTCGATGTAGATATTGTAGTAATATTAGCATGTCTCAGCCTCAACGTTTCTCAAGGTCTATACATATTACTCTGGTGACTAGTGGTAATATCCATAAAACTTTAATCCAAGGCTTTCCGTGAACGGCAAATACATCCAGCACAAAAATAATAAACATTAAATTTTAGCAAAACAGACTTACCAAAATCGACAGAGCTGCTGTGAGGTATCCACTGCCTGACCCAATAACTAAAGCACGTGGATTACGCTTTGTGTTTGTAGCTAACGCACTCAGAATACGTGCATGCTGATTGACGGAAAACGAAATCATAAAAATATTTAGCATAAGCATCAACCTACTGAAGGGAGCATATCTGCACTATAATTACAAAAAAGGGTATTTAAAAAGACCACCCTTTATGTCTGCTTATTTATAAAATTAAATACTCTGTTACATGGTCACATATATCAGGTTATAGGTTAAATTAAATAATCATCAAGTAGCACAGAGAAGGACGAAGGTTATCGAATTGTTATGCATGTATTCACTAAATTAGACAGTTTATCATTCCAAGTTCACAAAACCAATATCATTTACAAAGAAATGGGATCCTGTTTAGATTATTATATTCTTCTGTTATAAGGAAAGTTCAGTTTAACTGAAGGAAATGGGTACTAATCCAAGTAGATGAGTGAATAAAATAAAAGTGTATGTGTTTCCATACTTTAGGCAGGTTTGACAGTAGAAAGAACGAAGTGAGCAGTTTCAACACGAGTCATTTAGTTGGAGTTTGAAGAACACAAAATCTGACAATGACCAGTTAACTTAATATTGACGCTAATGAAATTTCTCTCCCTGTTTCATAGTATATTCTAAATGCCGAAGACAGTAGTCAGCCAGGGTATTTCTTCAGTGAACTATAATGATGAGAACTACTCATCTAATTAAACATAAGAACTATGTGGTAAACATCTGTCAGCATGCCAGTATTTATATAAATATACATCAGCTAGTGAAAGTGTGTAGGAAAGCATTACAGCAAATCTACAACAGTGGAAAATATCTGAATGTAAAGGCTATTGAAAAGTCTTAGTCTGATCATTTGCGCAACGTTTTCCGCAAAATCTGAAAGGCAGATTAAGCAAGTAAGTACAATATGAGCAATTGATTTAATTCATCTCATCCGTTAACTGTTAAGGAAGGCTTAGTTAAGTGTTTAACAAACCGAGCAGTAGCACTAAGTAGTACAAGAAAAGACCTAAATGATGAAATAAAACAGATAGAAGAGGCGCTGGTGTTAAATAACTATTCTATAAAATTCATTAAGAAGATCGAAAAAGGCCAAGATAAAAAATAATAATAATTGTGAAACTAGTAATAATAACATAAATAAGAGAGAATATAAGTCATCTACAGTTATACCATATAAAGAGGGGACATCTGAGACCCTACGTAGGATTCTCAATAAAGCACGAATTAGGGTGGCATTCAAACCTACAAACACACTCAGGGATAAGTTTTGTAGGTTAAAGGACCCAGCTGACCCAATTCGACAAAATAATATAATTTACAAAATATCCTGCAATGACTGTGAGGTCAACTACATAGATCAAACTAGTAGGTCAGGGGTAGTCAGATTATCGGAACATGAGAATTTAGCTAAGGTAAGAATGGTTGACCCAGAGAAGATAAGTAATTTAGAAAAAAGCTCAGCAATTGCAATGCATGCATTAACACACAACAACACAATAGGGTGGGAGAGGGTTAAAATTCTAAAAAGTAATCTAGGTAGGTGGAGAGAGAGAGATTGATTACTGAATGCTTGTTCATTGAGTCTAAACCCAACACATGTAATAGGAATGATTCATCACTCATACCCGAAATATGGAAAATACCACTACCAATCAAATCAAGCGAAAGTCAAGTGAAAAATAATGGAACTATATAAATGAAGTTAGGAAGTCGTGTGAGTACCTTGATATGATTACGAGCAATAAATTGTGCTTGAAACGTCATCAGTAAACATTACTGTATAACACTGTGAGACTTTATCAAAATAAAATTTTATCCATAATGGAATTACAATATGAGCAAATTCAACGGTATCCAAGAGTCCTTAGTATGTCCCTCTAAGTCACTCCGGATGCAAAGTCCAGTCATAAAAACAAATGTACGTCAAACTTGAAAAAGATGACAAATTTGATATCTGCCGTAAACACCAGGGTTATTTTTTAAGTTTATGCCCCTATGATTTAAACATGGTCAGTAGATTAACCAGATGCTTCAGAGTACTACATAAAAAACAAACAACATTTAGAAATGTTTGCAAAACTGAGTGTGAATATTACCTACATTTCTATTCAAGTGGTATACACCTTGTCGATTGTATCTGTTGACGTATACACAGATTTGAAAATCTGTCGTCAAACATAGGCTATCATACTAATACTTAAATGACAGTATCAAGACTATACTTTCAGTCTATGAATTTACTTTGAGGTCACTGGTATTTTTCTAATCCCTTACCCTAACATTTAGGAAACTCATCTGGAATCCTTCAAACACTTCTCACTATACTGAACTAAAATAATATCTAAACTGTGATGCAGTTTTCATTGGCAAATATGATAATTAACTAAAAGAGACAATTAAATCTTATACGATCATTCAAATACATTGAAAATCAAAATGAACGCATGGCTAAAAGGTAAGAGAAAATTCAAAAAGGGAGGAATGAAAGAGTTTACCACAACCAATGTCTAAAGAAATAAAGATACTAATACGTAACGAAACCTGATATGTTAGAGTAATGAAAACATGAACTGAAAGTAACTAGTAGGCGACAAATACTATGGAGTTGTTGATAAATAAGCACAAGATTGCAGATAGTGTGAAAAAGTTACATATGTCTGCTGGTTTGCGAGATACATCTGCTCCACTGCCTAATGTAGAACTGCGAAATTTAGTGAATCATGCGATATCAGTCTTCTTTGTGGGAGAAGTAAATAATGTGTGCCTTGGTGACGTCACTCCTAATATCTGTAGCCGTCACACTAACAGGCCAACAAAAGCAAAGTAGATATTAGGGGATGAGAAGTGAACAAAGGGATATGGTCACATGAAACAAAATTTAGGGAAAATAAAACAGACAAACATATCAGGCAAAAGAAGTGACTGAAAACAAGTTACAGAAGAAATGATATTAAGACAGGATTCATAGGATGATTGTAGTGTCAATACCGTCCCACAGAGACAGATCTTTCTGTCAACAGATATGTGCAGTTAGTTGAAAGTTACATATTTATTCAATCATCTCAGCAACTGATAGGGAGGTAGATGTGTCAGCCTACAATGAATTCCATTACTTCCAAATTCCAAGAGTACAGAAATTAAATTACACATCTACAATACGTTTTTGATGTTTGCCGATTGACCTCATTTGATCGTTCTGTGTTTAAAGTGGGGGCGTGGTTGCTACTTTATGGTATCTGTTTCTCCCCTCCAAAATCAACCGTTTACAAAGATGTCATCTTGAATTTCAAATACCACGCCTGTTTAGTCTATATCAGGAAGGTCATTCCTCGCATCCAATTTTGAACTAGTAGAATCCTCTAGTCAGCCACATCGTACTTTAGCGATAGGTAATTCCACAAAATTAATAGCCATAGCATTCATCATTAAACATCAGATGATTACCTTCAATGCTTAAGTCGATTTGTTTAGCTGAAGACTCACGGTCAGACATCCATGCCATTCGGCACACCATCGTGTTACATTCGTCCGTTCGTACACGACCCCTAACTAGTTAATCAATCAGCCTTGCATTACGATTTGGTCTAGAAATATACTTCGTAATTTGGACGGAAGCGTTATGCTTTGCCTTTGGTCTACTAGGAACGAATACTATAGAAGTTGTGGGTATTAGATCTAGCGTTAGTATGAATCGTACTGTCTGTGAACAACAACACCCTCAGCCTCTAAAGTACCAACACTTAAAGTTCATTTGCTACGACCGCAAATGGACCTTCATTCTACAGTCAATTGAGAAGAATGATGTATGCCTTAGACACTCCCTAGGGATTTGTAAACTGCATGAATGCGAATTCTGAGTGTTAACCCTTCACTTTTCCAGGAAAAACTGTGTATAACACTCAAACATTACAATGTACGGGTTGATTTATCGTAAAACGGATTTGACTGAGTAAAATCTACTGAACTCACCACACTAGGGGCAAGAATGATGCCACCAGAGCCAATTGACTGTTGAATATTTTTGTATGGGTTTTCCAAAACAAAACAACCACGATCCACATTATACATGAGATATTGAATAAACCTAGAATTAGGGAAACGAAGTCCTAAATGGACACCGAATTCAAATGCACATAAATGTTTACTAAACATTTATTACCCCCGATCTTTTTTATCAAACTGATATGAGCAGCTTGATTCGTTTGACAGGCGGACACACAGTTGAAAAGATGTGGAATTATTGCCACTATCAAAAGGCTCTTGAAATTTGTAACCCAAATCATAACCTTCCACCTCGGAAACGAAACAACCACTTCGAAATGCCGCCTTCAACTTCTAAATAGGTCAATCTAAACGAAGAGTATTCTTTTCAATAATTTCACTTTAGGTTCTTACAATTATAAAATATGATTTTTGTTGTTGTTACAACAATGGCCTGTTGTGCGGCGGATATATTTCGTACAGAGAATAACAGATTAGTTATGGCGTGTCAAAATAAATAGTCTTATTTTGTGTGACAAATGTGAGAGGCTGAAATCGATTGCAAAATATTGTAAAATTCGAGACAATGGTGGTGATTAGTCATAACAGACTCGTAGAGTAGGGAAATTGGCAAGTCAGTTCAAGGTTATAAAAGGTGTCATGTGTGTCTAGTACAAAGTGGTATGCATAAAACGGGAGATAGTAAGACTGTTATGAGAAATTTATACTGGGTAAGTATAACTCAACCCCTCCTCTTACAGTTCATAAACTCTTGCCTCCTACCTATTCTTCTTTATTGTTCACCCTCATTCTTTCCTGTTTTGCTTAAAAAGGGCTATGTCACAATTCGCAGAATGCTGAAGACTGTCAGTAGGATGAGTGGTGTCCCAGTGGACTACATAGTTAACGTCGTTGTCGATAGGCATTTGACTTCGTGCAGTAAATTTGCTAAAGGGATTTTGTCTGACTTGGAGCATCCACTTCACCCTCAGCTTTCACCTTGCATCTCCTCAGGTAGAACAAGAAGTTACTTCAGAAAACTGTATGCTCGCACGTCTGAGTATAAAAATTCTATGATACCATACTTGGCACGTATTTTGTGTGATGAAAATAGCGTCAGGCAAGAATTGACTAACCTTTTTTTCATGTAGTATATAAACGATTTCATCTATCCATCCATCCTTATATACCTTCAATTTTTATTATTATATTATTATTGTTCCCTTGGGTTCCTAATGGAACATAGGGCTTCAACTGCACGCCTCCACTTGCTTCTGTCTTGTGCTGTACTTTTCACTTGCATCCATGTTAATCCATACTGTTTCAGTTCCTCATCACACGATCTCCTCTATGTCACCCTTGGACGTCCCACTCGCCGCTCCCCTTTCGGGTTCCACTCGAGCACTGGCCTGACTGACGCGCGATGTCACCCAGTGGCCTCCTCAGCGAGTGTCCAATCCATCTCCACTTTCTCCTGCATATTTGTTGAGCGATTCGTTCTTGTTTTGTTGGTTCCCATAGTTTCTTGTTGGTTCTTGTTCTTTCCGGCCATCTGATCTTCAGTATAGAGCGAAGGCAGTTGTTGATAAAGGTCTGCAGCCTGTTGAAAATATTCTTGGTGACCCGCCAACTTTCTGATCCGTACAGCAAAACTGACTTGACGTTTGTATTGAAAATCCGTATTTTGTTGTTGATTCTGAGTGACGAAGATTGCCAGATTGGCTTCAGGTCGATGAATGTGTTTCTCGCCTTCCCGATTCTCGATTTGATATCCTCGTCCGTTCCTCCTGTAGTTGAGACAATGCTCCCTGGATAAGTGAACGAAGTAACCTCTTTCAAATCCTTCCCTTTGATGGTGATTGGCGCTGGATGTTGCTGTTGTTGGTTATTTTTGGTTATTTTCATAACCTCCGTCTTGTCTATGTTCACCTGCAGTCCTGCCTTTACTGCTTCTTCGACCAGTTTGTCGGTTTTCGCTTGTTAGTCTTCGATTTTGTGTGACATCAAACATAAATCATCCACACGCGAAATCCAGGTCTTCTAGGTCGTTCACGTCGGTCCAGGATATCCCTATCCTCTCGTTTCCCACTGTCTGACGCATAATCCTGTCCACCACAATTAGGAATATCGTTGGTGATAATAATCACCCTTGTCTGACTCCTGTGTTTACTCGAAACGCCTGGCTGAGTTTTCCGTTGTGGATCACTTGACATGTGCCGTTGTCGTACAGCTTTTGAATAAGGTTGATGAATATTTGGGGTACGCCGTAGTACTCGAGTAGTTTCCAAATCACTTCGCGGTCAACGCTGTCAAAGGCCTTCTCAAAGTCTATAAAGTTGAGGTAGAGGTTTGATTGCCATTCCATGCTTTGTTCGATGATAATGCGTAGAGTTGCAATTTGGTCAGAATATGATTTGCCTTTCCTGAATCCAGCTTGTTCTGGTCGGAGTTCTGCATCTAGTGAGTCCTTGATTCTCTCCAGGATGATGCGACTCAGGATTTTACTTGGCGTCGACAGGAGCATGATTCCTCGCTAGTTCTTGCAGAGTCCTAGTTCCCTCCTCTTCGGTAGTTTCACGAGGTAACCTTTCCTCCAGTCAGTAGGCAGCCTTCCCTCTTTCCAGATCTTTTGCAATAATGGAGTCAGCATATCTGCTATCGTCTCTGGGTCTGCTTTCAGCGCTTCCGGGGGTATTCCATCTGGCCCAGCTGCTTTTCCAGCTTTCAGAAGCTTGGTTGCATTCAAGACTTCGGCTTTCGTTGGAGGATTGGTGTCACCTTGCAGTTGTGTGCGCGCTGTTGTTGGTATTTCTGGACGGGTTGCAGGTGGTGGTCGGTTCAAGAGTCCTTTGAAGTGTTCCGCCCATTGTTTAATCTGTCTTTCTTCCTTGGTAATTGGGTTCCCTTGGCTGTCTTTTATAGGTTTCACTTGTATTGATCTCTTCCCGGATAGAGGCTTGGTTATCTGATATAATGTCCTCAGGTCCCTTCTGCCTGCTGCCTTCTCAGCTTCAGTAGCCAGGTTGTCGTAGAATTGTCTTTTTTCCTTCCTGGCACTCTTCTTCACTTCTTTGTCCAGTGCTGTGTAAATTGAGCTCAGCGTCTCTTTCTCTTGTCCATCTTTGCATTGAATCATTTTTTCTTTCACCTTTCTCCTCTCCTCTATTAGCTTCCAAGTGTCCGTTGAGAGCCATTCCTTGTCTTGTTTCTTCTTTCTTCCTAAAACCGTTGAGCACGTTTCGTTGAAAATCACCTTCAGAGAGTTCCAGTGGTCTTCCACGCCTGATTCTTCTATGACGTAACGTAGTGTTTCCTGCTTCGCTCTGACCGTTGCAGTGAAAATGTCCTGTGTGATTGTGTCCTTCAGTTTTTGCGTTTTGAACTTGCATTGTGGCCTATCCCCAGGTATCCTTGAGGCTTTCAGCTTCACCTTGAAAGTCCCTTGTACTAGGTAGTGGTCTGAACCCACATCTGCTCCTCTCCTCGATCTTGTGTCCAGTAGGCTCCGTCTCCACTTCCTTGAGATTCAAATGTAGTTTATCTGGTTTTGGTGTGTCCATCTGGTGAAATCCACGTCGCCTTGTGTATATCCCTGAGTTTGAACACACTGCCACCAATCATCCAATCATTGAAGGCGCAGAAGTCTGAGAAGAGTTCACCATTTTCGTTCATTTCACCGAGGGCCTCGCGACCCATGGTGAGTTCTCTTCCTGTGTTGTCTCCTCCCAGTTTCGCATTCATATCACCCATCAGGATTTTGATATCGCTCTTTGGGACGTTGTCCATTGCTGTTTGTAGTTGACTGTGGAAATCCTCCTTCTTCTCTTTTTCTGAGACGTTTGTAGGCGCACAGCATTGAATGATTGTAACCTTCCTTACTTTTGAGTTGAACCTGGCTGTCATTATCCTGGAGGAGGTTGGTTCCCACTGCATGAGAGCTTTAGCCGCTGTTGGTGACATCATGATGGCTACTCCCTCGGTGTGTTCGTGATTGTCCTCTGGGTGACCGGAGTAGATTATTGTCTCTCCAGTTGGCAGTTGGCACCTTCCGCATCCGTTCCATCTGCTCTCGCAGATTCCCAACACTTCCACTTTTTATCTCCTCATTTCTGCGGCTACCTGGGCAGCCTTTCCAGTTTCGTACATTGTACGAATATTCCAAGTCCCCATCTTTATTTTTGCTCTCATCGAAAGAAGGCACATCGGCTGACTGGCTTCCCGAAGGCTTTCACCAGCCTGCGTCATTTCACTTCCCCGATTCCAGCGAAAAATAAGGTTATTGTTTGTATTTTTAGAATTTTTAATATATTTGTGCTTTGAAGTTTTAGTAGCAATTTGGTTAAGTTTTGAGGGTGGATTTGCTAGCACCACGGCTCAACCCTCCCTCTTTATCCGGGCTTGGGACCGGCTACAAAACTAGTGAACTAGTAATCTAGGCGAGGTTCCTTCAAGTTTTGCTTTTATTCTTTCTATTATATTTATGGTCCTGTTGATTCTTTGTTTCCACTTTCATAACTGCAAACACCAAATTATCTCTATGACTGCTGTTATCTTTGTTTTTCACTCACCATATCATGTAAAGAGAACATCATATTCAATATTTTTAAACATGCTGGATTTCTATACCTCATCAACAATACTATGTGAAACAAGCCCACGGCAATTTCTACTTGTATTATTATCATTACCTTAGCTTATTATTTCCATTTTATATGCTGCATGATTTTTTGACATTACCCCTACTGTAAATGTAAAAATTTTGTGTGTGATTAATTTTATTTATAATTTGAGTAAATTAGATGCAATATTGTGATTAATGCTGAAAATTCCATTCTGTATCATTATTATTATTAAAAAATGAAATTATTTCGAGAAGGCAAAGTCACTGGACATTCATTCAACGTTTACCAACACTGGGAATTTCATACTCTCAAATGAATAATGCTGACTGGTGAATTTTCTCATGTGTGTCTGACTATTATTAGTGACTAACAAGTCTATAGCAGGTGTGATATCAGGCACCATACGTGACACCTCAACTTGTATTAGTGATAGTCTAAGCTCATCCCACCTGTTCTTATAGGTGTGCCCCAGATAAACCAGACTCAATGTGTACTGTAGTCAAATACAATCATATCCACTCAGAATTAAATATTTAGTGGCATTTCTATAAACACGAAACCAATTTGAAGGTAACTTCCCAATGGGTATTACCACTTGAAACCATTAGTTAATGACTGAAAATGGCATTTGCATGCCACCAAACGAATAATTTTCCCACACTTCGTTTCTAGACAGCCGTACATCAGCAGACTCCATGGAAGTCTTGTTTCCAAGCCTTACTTCAAACA